ATACTTGCAGCTATACAGCCCTGTGTGCACTACAGAGGAAGTATAATCTAGCTTAACAGTGAACTGACTTCTAGAACAAAGATCTGTATCCACTGAAGAGCCACTATAGGTACGCATGTAGCAACTGCAGGACATGACACTGGCAGGTTCAGAGGTAAACCCCATTTTTCTCTAAACCAGTTTTTCTAGGCAGTATCATGATAACCTTCTCTATTTTTTTCTCCTGCATGTTCTGACACCCCAAGTTGGCCTGTAACTTTATTTCTATCTCCATCCTCCAGACAAGATCATACACAGTGTCAAGTTTCTCAGATACTCTTGAACCTTAAGACACTGTGAGAAGTGGTGCATGGCTACAGGGACTGTCATAGAAAAAAATAAGGGTTAGATTTCTAAATATATTCAAGTACTTGGAAATACATGCAGTAGGATTCTTTAAAAGCCCTTACAAATCTGATGCCCTCTAAAATCAGAAGTACTAAACAAACCAAATAGAAGCTAGACACAGAGAGGCTTAAAAACTGAGTGTATGCCTGCTATTTTTAAGGTTTGTTACATCCTTAAAAATATGCCTCTTAGTTACTCCCAGTGTTAGAAGCTGAAGACTCAATGTGTCTTAGATACAAGATACCTAAACCAATTCTGGTATGACTCCCCCTCCTACATGGGAGAAAACCCGTCTGTGTGTTACATACACACTGATCTTATCAAGAAGACAGAGAGGTATACTGTCTACTGAAACACGCACCACAGCCAAAGCTTACAAGCATCTTATGCATCCAGCCACTATCTCAATCAGTAGCTGCACCAACAGAAAATAATTTCGTTCATCAGTATCTTTAATGTATTTATGTAATGCTATCCCAAATTTTAAATAAAGCACTTTTTTTTAAAACGGGGTATGACCCAGCACAAAAACAGGAAATGCAGAATGCAGCAAAGCTTGTCAATGCCATGCAAAGTTACCTATCAACCAATTGCTGCTCATCTGCAGAACTTTGACTGAAATTCATAAGGTGTATAAAATGTATGAGACATATCCACAGTGGTATCTTATAGATGTTACATAGTTAAACATCCTCTAAATTTTGGGAGTTCTGCTTTGGTGATGGAATAGTGATGAAAGTCCCCCCAAAAAGGAGTCCTGAAGAGAAGAATTTTACCCCTGCCTCCCAAGAGCATTTTTAATTTGCTTCGCAAACAAGATGTGAAAAATCCAAACATAAAGATGACATGTTTTAAGTTAGGAGTTAAATCTTTTAGCCACAAGGACAACTGGGAGGTAGGAGTATATGCAAGACAGCATGTTTGCATTTACCTCACCACCTAGTTGATGAGCCAAAGTGGAAGTGTACTATGGCTCAAAGAATGGAAGGGAATAGTCTGTTAAAGAAATAATTTGCATGGATGGAACATCACTCTCATAAAACAACTGCTCTATCCCAGGACAACTTTTGTTAATAAATTCTGACAACATTAATGCTTAGCAGGTAAATTAATTTGCATGTAAAGTAATAAATTATTGAATCTGCTTCCACAAAATAGAATTTGATTAAAAATATTTTAATATTTGTAGCCTTTAAAACATGTTCATTAATTTAAAACTGTAAGCTCTTTAGACAAGACACATTTTCTATTTGCCCAAAAACTTGCTACATACATCTAGTTTCCTATATATATACTGAAGAAATGTAATAGTCTACTTCATTATTTATCACTTGCTAAACTGTTTAAAATATGATTTACAGCTGCACAGGAATAAAGGTAATGACTAGTTTTCCTCAGCCAACCACCTGTGAGCATACATAATATATATAAAGGGACAGACGACAAAATGCTATAGTAATGCAAAAATATACATATAGAAGTCAGATTATCACCAATTATAAAGCCGCATGTGTACATGTATGTGTATACACACACGCATGCTAACACTGGATGCAGATGTGACCCAGAGTTCTCTATCAAGATGGGACTCCCTGATCACCATAGGAACAGAATACATTTAAGTGCAAGATAAGAAACAACTTGATCTGCATTCATTTGCAAAGTTATCACCCTCATTATAACTGAGCTGAGACTTGGCGTATTTCAAGCTGTAATAAAATCAAAAGGCAACCAACTATTTCCAGTATCCCAGAATCTGGCATTTAAAACCCAAGGTTTCCAACCACTAACACGCCTTACAATGCTGGTCAAATCAGAAATAACCAAGGCTATGAGCAGCATTCTTGGCTTATGACTAGTGCAGTACACAGAAGTCTAAGTGACTTCTTCCAAAAATGGGGGAAATGTGGTAGGGGAACAGGGGGGAAAGAAACCATGAAGCATGTGAAACACTTAGGACTGAAGCTGACTTGTGAAGTCACTGGAGTATGCTTACCATATAAAATAGTAGAATCTAAAGAAGAAGAGATGTAAAGCAATTTCTTCTGTGACAAAATGAAAGCTTTACAATGGGAACATAAAAAGGTCAGTTAAGTGTTTGTGGAAGAAAGATTGGTTTGAACCAAAACATTATCAAGTCTTAAGAACACCATGGACAGACTTAGCTGGTGTCATGACCTATCTACCTTGATCAATGTAAGGAAGGATAACTCACATTCGTCTCACTTAAGTGACTGACAAGTCATGATGATTATGAATGACGTTTTGTTGGCCTACAGAAGTTGGAACGGTGGTAGTCAAACAGAGCAGGGAATGGGTACAGAAATTTAGAGAAGTTTAACTATGTCTATAATAACTATAATAACTATGATGGGGGGGGGGAAGATATGATGATCAATGTACAGGGAAAAAAAGTAAAAAACATCAAAAAAAGTGGTATTAACAGACTACAAACACAGGAACATAGAATGTATGTGAAAGAACAAAGAGATTTGTTACACAGGGTTTCGACATGAAATATAGTCACGAACAATCCCTCATTCCATAGCTGTCAAACAGCAGTTTACCGTATCACCATTACTGTCGAAAAAGGGAATACAATACAGAGTAGCAGCCAGTAAAGTTTATGTAGCTAAAACACCAAAACCAATCAGTCCTACAAATAGGGACCAAAACAGTATTCTATATGTACTTCACTAGTGTAATTATATTAATAATATTATAAGGGTTTGTAGTATAACAGTTTCAAATAAGGAGAAAAGTAGATCCTACATATCACCACACACTAATACAGAGGAAAGCTTCATTATCATATATTTAAAATGTGACTGCAGCATTATTTTCAAAACATTATGTCAAGAATTTTTAACATACATATATTTGAACTACCTTTCCTTATATATGAAAAAACAATTTAGAGATTACTTAAAAGAAAAAGATAACAGCCTTTCAAATTCCTGGTGTATAACTTCTGCTCTGATAAGGTCAATGCACAGCCCTGTAGGTAAAGTACCTAGCTGCTAAATTATTTTTCAGATTTATTACCTCATGAAACTCAAGGTGTAAGCTGTCCTGTAACTCTGAATGCACCATCACTCCCAAGAATCTTTCACTCTCCATAAATTGCTTTTTCTGGAAGGTAAATATTTAGCATGGTATTGAACCACAGTTCTGTCACCTGTGGAGACTCCTTGTTCCCTATTTTGAAACAGAACCACCACCTCCAGCACCAAGAGAAGCTTTGCTGCACCACTTCCAAACCCAGGGCTGCCCATATTCTCTGAAATAGGCTTATTTTAGTACAATTATCATGGCAGTCTGACTCATGAAATGGCAGGACAGAAGACATGAAACACCCCCAGTCTTTAAGTATCCCACAGGGTGGTAAGTTCAACAATAAAAGTTGTATGTATACAGTTAGTACGAACGAGAGCTACTTAAATGGAGATCAGTCCAAGCTTAGAACAACTGCACTTCTGCACAAGTAACTACAATGAGGAGGTGGGGGGATAAAATTAATTAAAAAAAAAAAAAATAAAATCACACAATATTTCCTGGAATGTTAACACAAAGAAATGCATGTTAATTTAAGTCCTAAAAGCTTTGAGAATAAATTTAACTAAACTTTATTCTGTTCATGGTTGTATTACAGGTCTTCTTATCTCTACAGTCGCATTGGCAGGTATGAAACAGGGGCAGAGAGAATTAGTTGAAAAGCTGTAAGCTGCATGGGAGCTCAGTTCAGTGACAAGCTTCCCATGTTATCTTAACTCACAGACAGGCAGGACAACTGTTCACAGACCAGATCTCAGTGACCAAGTCTTTGACTAGAGCATGCCAACACAGCTTCACTGAACTCAATACAGTTACTCCTCCTGCTGCAAATTGTCTGCCTCTCTGGGTGTCAGTTTGAATCTTCTGTAGTAAACCATGCCTCCTCTACTGTCTCATTCCTAGCTGGTGCTTAGCAACTTGTCATACAAATCCAGGACAAATAGTGTATGTGCATGCATCTGTACACAGAGATCAACAGTCAAATTGTTCCAGTCTTCACAAACTCATCAGCATGAAAGACAATGGGATATTTCTCTGCTTCCGTTCATTAGCAACCACTCATGGAAAAAGCCATGGCTTCAACTCCCCCACCTCATTAGCACTATAAAATGCTAGCGCAATTTGTTTTCCTGTACTGATAAATCCACTGGCAACTGAATTTGAAACCTGCATTTTAATGTCAACTATCATGAAACAAACCTTGTATTAATACACAGACAACCTATTCTAAAAATTCATAGCAGTAATTTCAGAATTTGTTTAACTAAAGAAACTCTTGCATGGCCATGATCACCTTAAAAGAACCTACACAGGTCATCTTAGAAGAATTCATGTAGATCAAAGTAAGAACTAAAGAATATTGGAGTTTGTATTTCCATTTGCTTTTGTGCTCCCTAAGAGTTAGATATCTAGTATGTGTATTATTTCACCTAATTAGGCAAGCAACATGTTAAATTCTCGCCCCAAAGTGTCAAAGTACTGGATAGATGAATCCACTACAAATTAATTCTTGTAGTTTAATTACAATTAAAAATTTAAAGACACTTCATCTCTCTCACCTCAATGGTGGGTGGATTCTTTCTTTTTTTTCTTATCCATGCTGCAAAAGAAAACAAAATCAAATGGATTATTTCAAAGATCAGAGAGACTATTAAAACTCAATTATGATGTATTTGTAACAGAAAGTAAATGCTTACATAAAAATTACAATAGAATTTGCCACAACCTGGCAACCCATAAAATTTCCTAATATATAAAGACCCAACATGTTATTTCCCACCTAAATACTCTCAGTCTTCACAGAAGGGGGGGGGGGGGGGAAGGAAAATTAAAAAGAAATCATGTCTGTGAGGAAAGCTTGGGCACAGTTTACATACCACACTGGCTGCCAAAACAGGGCTTAAAGAGCAGCACTCACAGCCCACACCTGTTGTTGAGCTTTCTACACTGAGCTGAGCTTCACCCTGAGAAACCTGACTGGTGGAAAAGTATGAAAAACCTTAGACCTCTCTGGAGAAAAAGGATTCCTGTAAATGGCTCAGGCACTGTTAAAGCCAAAACCCTATTTATGTTAGTGCCAACTAGGATTCCTTTATGGGATGCAAGGCAGAGCCCCAAACCTGACTGAGGAGCTGCAGAGCCCTGCCTGCACCACGTTCTATGGCTGTGTGGGATTACCCACTGCATTAAGGGGGAGGACCCATAATCAGGGGGAAAGCTCCTTCCATCTCAGTCAACTCATGCTGGAAGAGAGCAGAGGGATGAAAGCAGTGGCAAGGACAACTGTTCTGTGGCTGATGGTTTCCATGATGAACCAAAATAAATATGCTTATGCCCATCCCACTGCAAACACTGATGGTCAGCATGCGACTGACTGGAAGCAGCAATCTAAAGGGACCCTACTGCAGACTCCATCAGTATTCCATTGGGTCTTGCTTCATTCAGGCAATGAATTATTAGGCATAGCTCAAGCTACAACAGGCATTATTTAGTCAAACAAATTACGTAACTGTGGGCAAGACAATATCCATCACTCTGCGTAAGTATATCACTGCTGTAGCTTTTCTTCATGCCTTTTCATCCACACAATTGGTAGGTGCTTGGTTGTATACTTTTCAGAGAGTCTTTTCTGCTCATATTTTTCAAATGAACAAGAAGCAGAATGCAAGTGGCCAGTAATGAACAGAAGGACAAACATAAGGCAAGCCAGTTACAAGTGCCAAGACATGGCAAAACGTTCTTTTGTATATTTGCTTAGACAATTAAGACTTTGGTTACTGTGCTTGAAAATTAGAGTGAAAATGACATTTTTATTATCACCCAGTCAAATTCTTGTCTGACCTGTAGCTGTCTATGAGGTTTCAGCTTTAAGAAGGAATTATTCCAAATTTGAATTTTCTAATACCATCTGTGCTGCATTTTGAGAACTAGGGAATGATTCAGACAGCATGCCCAGAACACCAAAAGCTGCATAGAGTCAGTGCCACCTCACTACTGAAAATGCAGTTACACATAGAGTGAAATACTAATACCATTCTCTTACAACAACATTGTAATGTGTGGGGTTTGTTCATCAAGAAGTTTGGGGGGAGGGAGGCTCTCTGTGGCTGTCGCCAGGTGAAACAACACTCCTTTTGATTCTGTAACTGTTGTACTCTGTAGGTAATGGGGGGAGGTCAGTTGTATTGTTGCGCGGGATTGTGAGAGAGAAAAGGGGGCTGCGTGGCTCGAAGTGGTGTCTTGTTGCAACGGTCGAGGGGAGGGGGCTGCGACGGTGAGGAGGCTGGAGGCTGGCCTCTGGCAGCTTCTCGAAACTTCCCGAAACTTCTCAGTAATGAGACCCCCTGCAACAAAGGGAACCAATGGGGAAGAGCCATGTCAACATCCGAGTGAGGAGGGGCGACAGGATTGGCCGGGGCCTTGAACCGGAGAAGATAAAGGACCGCCTCCCAGGGACCGCGTGGGCGCGTCTTGGGCGGAGCGGAGGACTCGCCGGCGCACCCAGCGCTGTTTTATCTGCTATCGCTTACTCAGTTTAATAAAATTCATACTTTAAACCAAAATTGGCTACAATATTGATAACAACATTATGAACCTGGTTTTAGGAGGGTAGCTTCCAATTAACAGAATTAAGGCAGGCAAAATGTCATTGCACAGCTGGGAATTTAGGCATGATAAGAAGGCCAACAGCCTTAACTCAAGGTTAATGGTAAAATACCTGTAATAATACAAATCAAGGTATTACTTTTGGTTCTTGTCTAACAAATGACACTTTCTGAATGTGTGTTCTTTTAAATACCATTCTCAAACATCTTTCACAAGCAGTTACTGCCAGCTCTTCCTCAGAAGTCTTTTGGTCCTAACAAAGGTTAGACCTAAATTCGTTATTGTGGAGAAGTGACTCAGCACTGAACAGTCAACATCATCCTTTCTGAAAAAGTTTTATGTTAGTAGAAAGGAAGCCTAGTAAAACAATCCAAAATACAACTAAATTACTTTAATCTATAGAACCAGAAAGCATTTTGCATGTACCCATAGCACTTTTGAATCCTTTATGAGGATTTCCAAACAAAATCTGGCAAGACCAGAGCTTAAACTGGCATGACTGAGACTGACACTTCCCACTGGAAGCCTTGTAGACAATCTTTTTCAAAGGGCTGACAATGCTATTAGACAAAATCACAGCACATACGCCTTTCCTCTTGACAGAAATCATCTTTGTCTGTGCTGAGCAACAGTTCCAACATCACCCATTAAAGCAAGAAAGTGGTAGAGATATCAGGTATAGTGAAGGTTGTATACTAGGCACTAACCAATAAATGAGACAGCTGGATTAAAAAGGAAAAAGTAGTAGTTTTAAATACTTCATAGAAAAATAAGTTTTAAACCTTCAAAATTCAAGGGCTTGCTTTCAACAAAGTATCATCTGCTTTGCCATGCCTTGCTTCTGTCACATGGAAGTACAATACCACTGGTTTCAGTTCCACATCTCTCAGCACCTAAAAATTGCTTCATTAGTTTTAAACTGCCAGTATTTAAAACAAAACAGCCCCAAAACCAGCCACATTTTAACTTCAGCTGTGTGATTAGATTCTTAAAAATTCTTAAAATTTGAAATCCTAGAGAAGTTAAGTTGCAGTTAGAAACTACTGCTGAAATACAACCATTATAATAGATTTTCTTTCAACAATAGATGGGACTTTTAGGCAGTTATTTGATTAACGATTTTCAGATGAATGAAATACTTCTACCAAAAGATTTTATCATTTAATTATCTGCCTCAGTTTAACAAGCCACAGACAGAACAGTGAAGGGTAGCACAATGACATGCATCCTGTGAACAGAAACTGCAAAGCAAGGAGCATTATGCAACGCTTTCTCATTCATTAATAGATCTCAGTTAGTACCAACACTCAAAAGCAAGAAAACAGTCCTTAATTTAGGAAGATTTCTCATATCAAACATTCCACCATCAGACTGTATTTATTTAAATTTATTAAATAATGCACACAGTTACAGCATTGTGCTGTTTTTCTTTCCAGCTATAAAAAGCATTTGAATGCATGGGTTTATAGGAGCTATCAACATTCCTTCTTTCTAATGAATGTCAGGACTACAATACTTTTTCAGTTTAACCCTTGCTGATAAAACTTGCTGACACAAAGACTGGAGACCATTTTCCAAATTATAACAGGTAAATTCATTTTAACATCTCTGATGAGCTGCATTAGGAAATTATTATTAAATATAATGCTATGTAGCTGAGGGATAAATACTGTAACAAAAATTACTAAAATCTCTTTATAGCCATGAGATGAAGTCAGTGTTAATATGTAATATTTACTCCGTGCAAATCAATTTCTGAAATAGTCTATGTAAAGCAGAGCTCAAGATACATTACAAAATTAAAAGCAAAGAAAACATCACCTGAATTGAGTAAAACTTAGTATATTGTACTTTAGCATTGAACAGTTTTACCAGTCTTTTAAAAGCAATATATTTTCCTAATAATTTATCTGTCCAGTCCTCAGTCTTTGGGGAGAACTGGAGGACTTTAATATATTTAATTCTCATCTGTTTTTCCTGACAAAAAATTAAAAATCCTTTCAATTTTTTTATCAAAAATATTTTGAGCTTCCAAAACAATGTTCAAAAAAACCATCAACACCTCATAACTCAGTCCTAAGGGAAATTCATTGTAATAATTAAAGGAAGAATGAATGTATGCAAAAATACAACCAGTGATTTTCTACTGAATTAGCACTAATTTTAACAAAATTTAAGTAAATAATATCTCAATAAAACATTTTGCATTCTCTTTGAAAAATATAGTCAATGTATACACTTCAGCAAGGAAAAGCTCTCCCACCTTTTTCCCACATCGTTAGCAAAGGAAAAGCTCTCCCACCTTTCTCCCACCTCTTTAGCAAAGGAAAAGCTCTCCCACCTTTCTTTCTTTGTGCTCTACATTACACTTTTAGTCAATTCAGGTTTCAATTACTGAAGGGACTTATTCCACAGTTAAATATTTGTTGATGGAAAAAAGGCAGGCAGGTGCTTTATTACACATTATTTGAAGACCATATGCACACAAGCATATATTTAATTAAAAAGCGAACAGTGACAGTTCTGGCTGGGAAAGATTTTCACATGAACACTCCCATTCCCTATGCTAATAAGAGAAAATGCCCCCATCACTGTCAGCCAGAATGTTTTAAATCTGGTAGAGAAGGTAACATGTATGTACTAAGCGCAACTAAAACATGCTTCCCTGCCCCCAAGAGCTTTGGCAAAATTACCTCTATTTCAAACTAATTATGCTGCTGCTTCTAATTTTATCTGACTGGCACTTCCTGCATTCTGTACTCATTGTAAGGTTACTTTTGTCTAAAAGGAATTTAGCAAGATAGCTGGACATTTACTACCTTGAGTCCACATCCTTTCATCAGCACTCATTTGCATTCTTATTAGAATGCATGAGATTTTCATTTAACTTTAAGACTCCTAATGGCACAGAACACACTGTAATGGCCATAAATGTGAGCATGCAAATTAAGACTCCCACTAATCACTAAATGTTACCAAGAAAGAAATAATGAA